GTGCTATGAGAAGCTCCTTTTCTTCAAGGAGCAATAGAGAACTTAAAGAGCTTATAGTTTAATGGAGACAATAAAATTAAAAGAAAGTACAGGAAGAAAATTCTCCCCTTCCTTCTCCTTGTAGTAAGTAGTATCAGGCTGCCAGGCCTGTTTTGGGGTGAATTCTAGCCTGAGCTCAGAGTAGGTGCTGATCCTTCCTGAGTCCTGCTTCACCTACAAGGAGAGGCTCAAGACTCTGGGCTTGTTCAGCTAGAGGAGGGAAAACTTAGCAGGGACCTGACAGCAGCTTTTCAATATTTAAGAAGAGGTTGCCCACAAGATAGAGTCTTTACTGTGGTCCACAGCAGGACAGCAAGAGGCAGAGGTCACAGACTGAAACTGGGGAGTTTCCAGCCAAATACAAGAGGAAGAAGCACTAATACTATAACTAAGCATGAGAATAGGTTACTTCAGGAGACTGGGGACTGTCTATCCCTGGAGTCTCTCAAGGCATAACTAGGAAGTGGAGAGCAAACCAAGAAGGAAAGCTGTGAGCAAGAGGTTGAAGGAAAGACCACCTGGGGTCCTTCCAGCCCAGGTGACTCTCAGAGACTATAAGTGGAATCCTGACATGATAAGCAGAAAGCTTTTATTTGCCTACTGTATGGAGATGTAAAAGACTGATATCCTCACCCTTGCTAAAAGCACAGACGCCGAGAATAAAGTTTTGCTTCTGATAACAAGGAGCGACTTGCAAAGATGGCAGCACAAACTTCCTGAGCAACGATTTGGGCCTCAGCAAAGTTTCCTCTGCGTTGCACTGTGCTGGCTGAAAGGCAATTGTCCTTTAGTGCCATCTCCTGGGAAAAAATCAGATTTCCAGCTTTGTCAGCCTGCCTTGTTGTTCTGCCTCAGCCCTGCAGGGATTTCCTGCCCTCCCCTAGGCTGGCCTCCCGGTTTCTCCAGATCCACCTTCAGGATGTTGGCTCCCAGCGGTGGGACGTGTGTCTCTGTACACCAGTGTTTTCTACCTAGCTGAATCCTGATGCAAGTATTTCAAATGTAAAGCCATAGGAACATTGTTCTTCTGGGGTTTTGTTTTGTTTGTTTGTTTGTTTGTTTTTTTCTCCCATCAATGCCTAAAAGGGCATTACACTTTGCCCTGAGGTTCTTGCTGTACCTTAAAAACATTCATTAAGGATGCTTCACTGAAGGATAGGGAATGAGCCAGCTGTGGCCACTTCTTTATTCCAAATCTCATCCTCCCCTGGAAAGATCACAACTGGTTACGACAGGATGTGTGATTCCAAACACAGGAGGAGCAGAGGTGGGCAAACTGGAGTGACCTCCCCCAGGAGCTGCCTTTGGCCCCAGCTCCAGCATGCCCTGTGTGCTTGGCTCCTCAGGCTTCCAGTATTCCCCAGTTTCTGCTGCCCATAAAGGAATCCTTGCTCCTTCCTTTCCTGGGACACTACGCTAGGATCAGATTGCTTTTTCAGCTGTGCCTGAAATTAGGGTGGGGACTTTCCTGTCCTTGCTGAATCCCGTCCTACGCCAGGATGGCTGTTTAACCATAGCTGCAGAAGTGTGTCGGTCCTTGTGCTGCAGAATAAATGCACTGCTCCCCAGTAAAGCTTCTCCTTGGTCCATACCTGCTCTCCCAGACATCAGACATCATCCCTGACAGACATATTCACCTGGAGCATCACATTTACAGAATGTGGGGAGAACTTGCAATGTCATTAGCCTGGATTAATTGATAAGAGGCCAAACATTTCCTGGAACAATCATTTCTGTATCGTCCTGATGAATTTAAAGAGACTGAAGTTTAGCATTTGACTGAAGGGAAAAGAAAATTTTAAATTCATCTTCCTATATGATTGGACACTGAACAAAGTAACCTCCCAACCTGCCTGGCTTTTATGTACTTATGATTCTCCTTGTAGGAAAAGCCTCGCAAAAAAAAAAAAAAAAATCCCTTTATCTCAATCTTCTCCACTAAAAGGCATCTATCATTAATAACTCTATTTTTAATTCTATCATCACCAGTTATTTGTCTGAAATTTTTCCATGCATGAATTTCACTGAGCTCATATCTAGTGCATGACTCACTGAACTCTGATTTCCTTGAAGATTTTAAGAAGAAACAGCAATGCCTTTATCCTCCCTTTCTCTCTGTGAAGGAATCTTTTGAATTTATTGTTTATTCTAAGTTTGGATGAAGGATATAATTTGTGAGTGGGCATAATAAAATTTTTATTGTATCTTGTTGAAAGCAGCATAGGATGACTGCATACTTGGCTGGGTTGTCCCCTCATCCCTGCTTTTTGCTGAATTATCAGAAAGTCACTGGAAAAATAACTGGCATATCTCTGGTGTGGGCATTTGACCCTATTCCTTCACTGGGGCAAGCCCAGACTACATTTAGTCCCATCCTAACACCCTGTCACCTAATCTAAGCCATCAGTTGCTGCCTTTGTCACTGGGATTTTTTTTGTAAAGTCCATCCAAATCTCCCCCTTAGTGCAGTACTTTATGCCTTTCCAAAGGACAGCACTATGCACATACTGAAGACTTATAAGATCCCTGGTCACTTCGCTTTTCTTTTAGTAGAATTGAGTAAAATTATTCACCTCCTTCCTCATCATTCATCTTAGACCTCTGACTGAGCTGCTGCTACAAGAGAGTCTACATTTGCCTCTAGAAGAACTACCTGAAAATCTGTCATGAGGTTGCTCCTGAGCTGACACTGTGCGTTTTGAAGACCTGCAGCACTGCCGCTTTCACCCTGCGAATCCTTCATCAGATCAGGCACGTTGTGAGGAGCCTGAGGCAAGAACCTGGTGTGGAGAATTTCAGCACTACTGTCCTGAAGTCTGATGTGGTTATAAGCAACAGAAAACATTGCCTTTTAAGTGCAGGTTTACTGTGCCCGCTCTGGCTACAAATACAAATACAAATCTGTCCCGCAAGAGCCTGTGTTTGGGTTGTAACAAAAGCAGTACCTACATTTTGTAGGTATCTACATTGCTTCAGAGCAGGAGTTGGTGGCTTCTAGGTAAGCACAGGAGTGCGCCTGGGACAGAGGACTAAACAAACCTGCTAGCCAAGCTATTCACTGGAGGCTCTTTGAAAGACTTTTTCAGAGGATCTTTGAGGTGTCTGGTGTATGGGTGAAGAGGGCTTTTCTCAAAGGCTGTGGTCTTAGACCTGAAACATTAAGCCGTGACCATGTTCTCTGCAGCTGTTCCTAGTGTTACGTTCTTTGTATCTCAGCAGAAGAGGAGAGTTTATGCAGATGCTGCTGCCTTCTGTTATTCCTCTCTAAGCTCCTTCAAGCCATAGTCTCCAAGAAAAGTCAAGGCTGAATGTAATAGCTGCTTTTCAGGGCTGGTTTGAACAAAATTTCCTTAGGCTCCAGGCTGGTAGATTTAGGGAATGAAAGTTTAAGGTCCTTCTTGGATTTAGAAATATTTTTTTCTCTAAATTAGTATCCAATCATTAGCAAAGGTGAGTTGTTTCTGAATGTAAGTTGAAAAGCCTGAAATAATCTGTTTTTGTACACCGTTGTGCTACCCATAATGGTGTAGCTAGGGAGGAGCTGTAGCTATTCACTACACCATCACACTATATATGTCCATACTTCTCCAAATTCTCATGCTGGTAGAGTATATATACACTCCAGACCTATTTTCTCTGGCACACAGAAGAAGAGAGCAAGCAGCAAATCACCCAAATGTTTTTCCTCTTACTTCAATCCCGTCATTTTGATGCCTCATAAACTGAGGTTTGGAGGCAAAAGCTTTCTCCATTTTGTGATTTGCACAGCAGAGAACAACACCCATACTCAAGAAATCACAGCAGACAATAACTTTTTCCTTAAGCTTGTATATATAGCCATCATTGTTCATCAGGAATGACCA